TCACCAGCTGTTGCACTTGCGGCGTCCGAAGCGAAGTGTTTTCTTAAGCCTTCTTGAACCTCCCACGATTTCACCTTAAGATTCCCAGCACCACGGCAAAAAATGCACATGTCAAGCTCGGCGACTGACCGATGCAGACTTCACTGACAAACCGAGGTATCAATATTTAATCTCTGTTAAAGCGCTACTCTTCATTCTGTCTCTCTGCCTTCTGTTTATCCCCCCTTCCCTTCCCCCTGAGCCGGGTAGCTAACCGGACATGGGCCGGTTTGATCTCTCCGGCGTTCCTTTTCCTCTTCCTCTCTTCTGGGTCATTCACAGCGTAATTTTATGCCCAGCTACGCAGCCAGCTTCTAGGAATCCGTGAATCGTGTCTCATGAAGACGCCTTACATACTTGTTCGACATATAGAGCATAATAGTCAGCCGGCTTGGCCATACACTCCCCATTCTCTCGGCCCAGCAATATTGCACGTTACTGCCATGAAGATCGTTTGCCGGGGGTAGCTAGGTTATCTTATAGAATACATCGCATGCGACGAGACGGCAAAATACGAGCACTCGGAATGCCGTCCTTGTAGCTTTCCTGGTTCGCATGCGCACAAGAAAGATTGAATGCCAACAAAATAAGATACATATCGTCTCTTCGCACGCCCGAGCGATGACAGCAACTGACGTCACTGCCTTCCTCGGCGCTTTTAGTCACAACGGCCGCCGAGGAATGCCCGTCCAGCCTGTTCCACGCCGCATCGCAGAAGGGGTTCCTTTAATAACGTTGCGACCCAGATACACGGCACCTGCCCGGAGTACGAGAAATAAGAATGCGTCGAGAAAGTGAAAAAGTAAGAGAACGAAAAAGAGAGAGAATACCTAAAGGACGTTTTAGATCAACCGTCTCTATCTGGCGAGCCCACTGGGACAAACAAACAAAAAGAATTTTCCATCTTCCATCGCCAAACTCGGCACAAGCGGCCCGAATGAAATTACGCTTTCTCCTGGAGAGCAAGTGATCAGAAATCAGTTTCCTCGTACACGTACCAGTGGCGTTGCGCGCAATCTATTCTGTCCAGACCTCTTTTGCAGCACCGAAGCCAATTCCTCACTTTTCGGGCGCGTTTCATAGCCTATATACGAAGCGGGCTACAACTGTGGAATCTACCGCGGTATCCAGAAGACGTTGACTGGACAGATGCTGCAGCTTACTTGCGAGCTGCGCTTACGCCTACGTCTTGCTTTTGTGCTTGTAAAAAGAGGAAATCCACTAAGCGCACAGCTTTGTGAACGGCACATACGTCCTGCAAAAGAGTTCGAAATTGAAGGTGTGTAGACTCAAAATGTGGGTGCCTTCCACGGTCTATTTGTGCTGCGAGTAAAGAAAGACTAAAAGAGAAAATAGTTGCCTGAACCCATTTCATTGAAGTCCTTTTGTATTCGGCGTCGAAACACGGACACATTTCTCTGAGCTGTGTGCATCTTCACAAACCTTTGGGAAAGTATCGGATGGGTTTTCTAAGGCTTCGGAGAAAGCTATATACACCGTTGTGGAAGCTACAATTGTAAAATAAAAATTAGAGTTCACCTTGGCGTCACCCTGGCGTTGCATGTGCACAATGAACCAAAAAATTTAAAAAAAACTATCGATACAAAAAGTTACCTTCTTACTATAGTTCAGTGTGCCAAAGGGTGGGTATTACATTTCTACCTTGCATACCAGGGTAGTCTAGTTGTTATGGTACTCTGCTACTGACCTGAAGGTCGTGGGATTGAATACCGGTCACGGTGGCCGCATCTATATGAAAAGGAAATGGCCCGTGTAGGTGATTTGGGTGCGCGTTAGAGAAAACTCCAGGGGGTGGACATTTACGGAGCCCTCCACTACGACGAGCCGTCATATTCACGTCGTTGTTTTTGAGACACTGAAACCGTAACAATGATTGAATATAGATAAAATTCCTGAAACGACACCTTCGATAAATCTCTCTTATCCGAGCAGAGACAAGAAGATGTCGGACAGTTACAGGGAACAATCAATAATATATGCCAGCACAGCTCAATTCTTCTTAGTAAGGGAAAGGAGACTGCTTTGAATGGCTGCAGAAAAAAAATGAATAGTGAGCAACAACTGGTTTCGAAATGGTGCATATGGAATTTCCCACTAACGCTGACTAAGAAGGTACATTTCCTGCACTCTGATTTCATCGTAACGCGACCTCGCACAGATTGCTATCTACTCATCTTGAGCATTATATCACCCTTACTTAGATTCGCGTGGATACTGACGTCTACTCACGCCTATCCAAAAGCAGCGTCATTCATAGACCATTTCCCTATTTATTGATGAGAGGCGTGTGTTGTGTAAGGAGGTGCCTTGCATTCCCCCTCACCAACTTTTCAGGAGAAGTTCTTGATAAACATATGTTATGTTGTCATCTCTTTTAAGAAACATGACAGTGGTTTGCGAGCACTCATAAGTCGTATTCGAAGCTAAAAACATCAAAGCTTGGCAGCATGGGCATGCGATTAATAAGATGTTAAATAACATTGTCATTCATGACTGAAGCTAATTCTAGTATAATGGAGTCACGAGTCTACTTAGTCTGACTCACTAGACTCAGATCGAGCTATGACCCTCAGTGAGTTCAAGTGACTTATATTTTGGTGAATCTTGGTCCTTGTGAGTCCGGTTGAAGAAAATTTTTGTGACAGTCTGAGTAAGTCCAAAGCGCATATTATGCTTAATGAGTGGGTCTGAGTGAGCCCGACAAGTTTTGCCCGACCTATGCCCATACCACACTTAGGAAACAGCTATGCGTCACAAGAGCCATGTTCAGTAACAAACTCTTTACTCTGCACGGGGCCGATAGTCGGCCGTAATATTCTGTCACAGTTGCGATGGTTGAATGAATCAGTCATAGAGACAGTGTGACAAAAAAGGGGGATGTTATTCCCGAACAAAAAATTATATCCACTTCCACACCTGCGCAACTTGAGTAAATAGCGGAGCTGGATTGAGAGCGCCACCACCTGGAGAACTCCGATTAAATTCATTCATCACCGTTCTTGTTTCGTGTTTCTTTCTTCGTTTATCTTCTACACTCTTTGTCTTTGTTTTCCTTTATCTTTATTTCTTAACTTATCTCTTTATTACTCTCTCTGCACCTTTTCCCTTACTAACCCTGGCATCACTCCGCCTTATCCTTACTTTTGTTTCTCATCCCTAGCTATGCTGCACTGTATATTGTTATGCTGTGGTTTATACCCTCTCACAGTCTTCCTTTCCTTCTCGCTCTCACAACATTCTTCATTCTCACATCCAATTCCTACCCCTTCCTAGACTGTACAATGCATAGCTATGCTATGCATTGTACAGTGTAAGAGGTCCTCGGTAGTGTAGCAAGACGCTGAGCTTCGAGGTATTTTGTACTTACTTTGACATGGCAGTGTCTCGTTGTGGCCATAGCGTCTTTACGCTAGGCTTTTGACAGCAGTAAACAACAGCATCGCAGGAGACGAGTCACGCACGCTTCGCATATGCTCCCAGTAAAAAGACCCAAATATGCCTTATAGTTGCATCCTAATTATTTTCGTCTCAAAACAGAAAGCGGCCATTATGAAAGTAAAGATGAAGTTGTAGACGTGATGGCTCGAAGTGACGAGAACCGGTCGAACGACTAACGTTACTGGAGCCATTACTTCGACGTAGTGACATGCCTTCGTCAGGGCAGGATCAAAATCAGCTGCCACCCTTACGAAGGCAAGACACTTTCTCGAGACGTTCACTTTGCCGACACGGTTTCCTGGAAGGGGAAAACCACCCCAAGGACGACCCTTAAAAAATAACAAAAGAAAAATTCTCTTTCTCTAGCTATGCCATGCTAGGGGACGCTTGGCATCCCTTAGCATGACATAGCTTGAGAAAGAGAATTTTTAACATAACCGCTTTCTAGGCCTGGACACGCAAAACGGTGGATATGAAAGCTTAAACAGCTACTCAAAAGCCGGGAAAACTTAAGTTCCACAATTTTAGCCCTGGCTTGACTCAACAAGGGAGGCGTTAATTGAAGAAACAATAACAGGTACTTTATCGCGAGTCTAAACATAGTTCATAAATATAAGAGGACAAGCAAAACCAGAGGAGAAGATGACGCAGGAAAACGTTCTGTAACTTTTTCGGGCTGTATCTGGTTTCATATTGATGGTTTCCTATAAATATGCAAGCTGGCTTAAATATAAACCGTTTATTGAAGTCACAGCTCTGTCCTGTACCGTCTGTTTCTTGTTTGCCATGTTATACATCTGAATACCCTCATTAACTAGCCTGCCAGCAAATGAAACTGATGCCTGAAGCACTGAGCAATGTTTTCTGTCACGGACCATGCAACCGCATCCCAGGAGACGGATATCTAAGCACGCTCGGCAGGACAAGATGCATCACAAGGCTTAATCACCCACAGTGCGGTGTAGCTCTGGTCATCAGACGAAAAACCGGCGTACACTCAGCGTGGCATGACCAAGTCCCGTTAAGGGCTCCCAGATAACCCCATCACGCACAGGAAGAGGTCGAAGATCTTGCTGGAGGTCCCAACAAGAAAGCGTAGCCAGGGATGTCTGCTTTCTACAGAAGCCCCTATGCAGGCGCAGCACGCAAGAACTGTGCCGTCTGCGTGGTCCAGCAAAGAAGGGTTCACGAAATGCGACTGAAGCCCTTGCGCGCCGACAGCGCAAAAGCCGCCGCCCTGTCGGTCCGACACGCAGGGGAGAATCTCCGCGGCTGCGGAACGAAGCAAAGCACAAAAAAGTCGTTGAACTTGTTTCACCCAAGGCGGGGGTGAGGGTGAACCGGGAAAGGGTGGCCCGGCGTATGCCATGGCCGTGCGTTGAAGACACCGGCTGTGCATGGCGTCACCGGCACACTGGCTTGACCAGGCACGAAGACGATGGCTCTCCCGTTGCCTGCCATGGGAGTGGAGAACGAGTAACGGCGCATGCGCCGCCACGCGCTGACGACTCCACCAGAAGGCAAGAAGAGGGAGACGTCATTCTTGTGGCCGTAGCGGCACCTTCTTACCGCTTCCTCCTCTCTCTTACCTGGCCGGTCGGTGGAAAGAGCTCCGCGACTGAGAGGCCAACCGACAAACCTGCAGCAGCCGCGCCACGCTGGACCTAACGGCCGAACCTTCGTTCGCTGTGTGTTCGTGCCATCCGGAGTGCGTGTGTGTGAAGTGGTGTACCTCTTGGAGAGTTTCTCGGCGCAAGAGTGCTGGCGTGTGGCGACGCCATCGCAGAGGACAGGTATTACGAGTAGTGCGACAGAAACAGACGGGCCATCGTCCCGATACAACAAGAAGCGTTCATCTTTCACCGTGTGTCGACGTCACTGGCGGTGGTGTTGTCGAGGTCGAAACGATGAATTCTCCGCGAGGAATGCGGCTATCCCACCTACCGGTAGAAGGAGTGCTCCTCAGCAGTGACTCTCCGTCGTTACACGGTGCTTGCGACTCGGATTCCCGGTGTCTGCGATTCCAAGGCGCCGCGGCGGCGTTGTGACGTCTTTTCGTGTTTCTTTTGTGCACTTTCTCAAGAGGAGCGGCGAAGGCAGGTAAGGCGGCGTGCCTCCTCTTGTCGTGGGTGGTCCGGAAGGAAGTACGCTGCTTGCACGTAGTACTTTTTTTATGTGCGGTTTCTTTTTCACTCTTCCTCACCGGGAAGTTACTTCCCGAGTGCCGTGTCAAACTCGCTTTCGCATATTTATGAAAATAACGTAACCGGGCTCGCACACACCACGCTCGCTGTTTATGTCCTGTTCTGGAATTCCCGGAGGGCGGTCGAACCGGCACTACCACTGGTGCGTGTCTGTTTACGAGGTTAGAAAATGAAGTCGGCCATTTTCGCATGCAGCGCTGGAGCTGCGCTACGCAATGACAGCGGACACAAAGACGCGAAATGAAAAATATGCGGTAGCCAGAAGATTGCAAAAAGTAGTGCACTAGGCCAATATATTGAGCCGGTTATATAGAGTCTAGCGAACTGAAGCTCGCGACGACTATTACGCTTACAGATAACCATATACGAACGTGTATAAACGTACTGACGCGGGCATTGCGCTCTTAAATGAAAACACCGCTCGATATTGAAATTGACTAAAAGTGCCTTCTACTGAATTTTACGTAAGTATTGTTGAATAATGAACAGTGTAAAGCAAAGAAATGACACAGTAGACCATAAAATGTAAGGCCCTTAGGCGCTTACAAATGGCGAGGGATTGTGTCAATGGGTGTGTTATTTTCTTTTTATCGTTATTTGTCGTGCTGAAGGGCAATAATATTTTTTGAAGGGCAATAATATTTTTTATAGTCTACCATATGCAATGGGCTAACCCATCAATGCGTTCGCACCCAACATTGCATAAAAAGAGAATATGACTCAACAATTGTAACATGGTTCCCTCTCCACCCGAAGGTCACAGGTTCGATACCGGCCGTGGCGGTCGCATTTCGATGAATGTGAAATACTAGAGGGTCATGTGCTTAAAATTTGGTGCACGTTCAGAACCACAGTCAGTCACAACTTCCGGAGCCCTCACCCCTAGTGCCCTTATTATTCATACCGAGGATTTTGGGAACGTTAAACGGCAGATATTAACACGGTTCCTTGATTGGTGACCTACTGAATAAAAAGTCCTCGCTACTGCCGTCAAAAGTCCTCGCGGACTTTTGACGGCAGTAGGGAACTGCACAGCAGGAGACAAGTCACGCTTTGTATGCGCTCAGAGTAAAAAGATCCAAATATACCTCAAAGCCGAATCCTAATAATTTTCGTCTCAACAGAAAGCGCCGATAACGAAAGTGAATATAAAGTGGTGGACGTGATGGCTCGAAGTGACGAGAACCGGTCGAACGAATAACGTTACTGGAGCCATTACTTCGACGTAGCGACATGCCTTCGTCAGGGCAGGTTCAAAATCACCTATACCACCCGTATGAAAACAAGACAATGTCTCGAAACATTCACTCTAGCGGCGTATTCAGTTCGACAACTCATCCGATCAGGGAGTGTATATTTCACTCCTAGAGTTATAACAAGCTGGATATCTCAGGCTGTTCGGTAAAAATCTGGAAGCCTTAGGCTTCCACACACACAGTATATGCTGCTCACTATGAACCTCCTGAAACTTAGCTCCACCACAGTGGCCTAGTAACTAAGGTACTCGGCTGTTGGCCCGCAGGTCACGAGATCGAATCCCGGCTGCGGTAGCTGCATTTGTGATGGAGGCGAAAATGCTGTAAACCCGTGTGCTCAGATTTGGGTGCACGTTAAAGGACCCCAGGTGGCCGAAATTTCCTTAGCCCTCCACTACGGCGTTTCTGATAACGAAACGGTGGTTTTGGGACGTTAAACTTCACATATCAATCAATTATTCACGCCAACAGAAATAGACAAGCAGGGCCAGTGCCGTCATTTACTGAAAGAACAGAGCGTTTAGACAACTTCACATACCTCAATCAATTATGCTCGCTCTGTTTAAAAGCTCCTTTTTTTGTTATACACAACCTCATAAAGGAAACAGATAATGAAGCCAAGAAATGCATAGCAGGCATTGTTTTTACTTGCCTAGTAATTATGACGGCATTACATTGTCCGAAGATTGTAGGTTGGCTCCCTATAGACGGCAATTTGATTCTTCGTCCCCTTTTATACCTTTACATTGAAGTAACGGTTACTGCATCTACAGTTAAAACTGCATATAAGGACTCCCATGTCTTCTGAGGCTTCATTGTCTGCTGACTTCAGCAAGTTCACTATGACCATGACGAACATACATAAAGCACAGCATGTCAAACGATCTTGCGACGTCGTACGTAAAATGCAGCGTGACGAACCAAACAATGGGACCTGTGCTGCTGCCACCACCACTATCTTCCAAGTACTACATAATGAAGCAATTTTGAGCAAGTTGTATGGGCTGAGCAACCAGAATGCCCGCAGAGACAAGTCCGCTATCCGGCTGAGTGAATTATTCAAGAGACGCGCTGCGGCCACAACGACGGGACGCAAGCAGATCCAACTACCAACGAGATAAAGTTACGCGGCAAAGAGGATTTGCACTTGGAAATCACCGATTCGCGAGCAATCATTTCCAGGAGCCCTCTTTTTAAGAGCCCATTAATTTGGAGATATCAGTGCCTCAGGCCATTCAGACGGGCTTGTGCGAGGGCCTTCTGGAACATCCCGGATCATGACGGCCGCGCCATAAAGTTTATAACCATATAGGCGTGTGCAGGGTTTCCTTTCAGGAGATGGGGCAGACTGAGTCCAGCCCCACACTAAGGTGACGAGGGGAAGCGACCGCCTCTCTGATTTCCACCCCCCTTCCCCCCCTGCCGTGCGCATAACTATGTTCCATAACACAGAGAACGTATGTGTAGTTCTTCTTTTCTGTGTGATGGACTTTGTAGAGCTGCCTTTTTCATCCACCTCAGATTGTTCTATCTCGGATTTAGTACGTGACTTGCCCGATTGCTCCACTGTGACAGTATTTTGCCGACCGGATAAAGGGCTGCGTTTGAACTGGAACTAAAGCAAAACAATACATCATTTCCTACAGAAAAATTATTCTTCAAAAACTATACTACTGTTATTTTCTGCAATCGTATATATTATTGAACAAAACAAAAGAAGAAGATCGAAGTTTTCTTCCCTGAAAATTTGATGACTGATTTGTGGGGTTTAACGTCCCAAAACCACCATATGATTATGAGAGACACCGTAGTGGAGGGCTCCGGAAATTTCGACCACCTGGGGTTCCCTGAAAATTTGCTCCAAAGTGATGGTGCATGAATGTCGATATGACGCCCTAAAATTAAAAGTGTTTTTTATATTAACTACCGTTGTCATTACAGTCACTTCTTATTGCGTCCAGAATTAAGCTCGATCTAGATGAGGAGCTGCTTGTTTAATTACCATCAGTGTCCATCAGGATCGAGACAATCACGATTTCGAACCGTGAACACGATTCGGCTGACATCTCTTCCAAACTAGATATGTAATATGCTACATTGTGTATTACGGACAAGCTTGTCAATGGCGATCAATTAGTCGGATCTGGATCAGCCCTGATCGCGATATAAAGTGCCAGTATGGCACCGGTATAAGGTACATCTACTGAACAATATCTACAGAACCTAGTACCCTAGGTCACTTGCCCATCGGAGGGTAATGTACCTAATTTTTGCGAATAAATAACTACGTAGGGCCCGAGCAGACGCCATCAAAATCTGTGACGTCACTGCAAGCTGGAGCGGGAACGTTATTGCGGCACAGCCGGCTACATGTTCGTTTCGCACTATTTCCAACAGACATCGCACCGTAAGCGGAGCTACATAACATTTAGCATGCATAGAAATGGGACAGCTGTGATGGGAATCGAACCTGTGTCTGAAGACGAATGTACGAAAGATACGGCCTTTGAATAGACCGGTACTAATACCTGGTTCACGGAAGACCAACACCAAGACTACAGCGTAAATATAACTACGCCAGCTGACCGTGGAATCAACTATGACATTCTCCTGCTGAAAACGAGGTCGGGAGTTCGATTTCAAGCTGCATTCCGATGCAGGCACTGAGCGATCACTCCTGTGTGTCGCATGTCCACGGCCTTGTTTTAAACATGTAATAGCAACTATGCTTTACTCGTAACCTCCTAGGAAAGATTTTTCTTTTTCTATTATTTGTCGACTTCTTTCAAGAATGGAAATAAGCTCGCTGGCAAACGCCCTTTTGACGGTTTTTCTTTTGTAGGTATTACCTTCTACGCGACAACGATAACATGACTGTAAAAGAACTTGTTGTTAGGCTAGTTGGTACAACATTTCAAAAATTAATTCGAGCGCGAACACATGACGCGCGCGCGCGCGTCATGTGCGCACGCACACACACACACACACACACACACACACACACACACACACACACACACACACACACACACACACAGGCATCGGCACTGGGCTCTTTGATGCCTGCGTGTGTGTGTGTGCGTGAGTGATTGTGCCGTGTGTTCGCACTCGAATTAATTTTTTCAAAATATAATATCACTGCTGGGGCTATATGTGCTAACAGGACGGTCAGATTATGAAGCTCGTCATCGTGGGCAACTTCGTGTTAGTTACGAAGTTATGGTTAACGTTAACCAAAATCCTAGCTCATGGGTGCCTTGTCGCATTTCGTCCCAAATGGGGAAGCCGTGCCCGGTTAATCGAAGCCGCGCCCTCGAGCTTAGCAACGCGACACCGAATACGCATACAGCTAACACGGCGGCTGGCCTTATAACAGCGAACTGGCTGCAGTGCGTGGCTCGGAGTGTCTCTTGAACGCGCGAGAACCCTTCGTATATTCCCATGCCCCGACGTTAACAACAGTGGGCCACTACGTGGCTTCTTCAAGGACGTGACTGGACCGGTTGGTCCGCCTCGGCGGGCGTCTGACGTTGAGCGGCGTCTCGTTGCTGTTTTCCTTGACGTTGATCGCGCGGCTCAGCTATTCCCCTCTGACGGTACCTGCGGCACGTCACTTTGAACTAGTCTTCCGACGGGATCC